CATTCCCATTTTAGACAAAACTATCTTATCAGCTTCAAACACCATCTTGAAGTCGTGCATGCTTAGCATTGTCCCGGATATGAGATTCTTCCGGATGTCGAGCACATAAAGCACATTGTGGAGCTTCACTTCCTTGCCCGAGGTCATCTTCAAGAACACTGTTCCTTGGCCCTTGATCATAGAAGTTGCAGGGTTGCCCATGAAAAGCTTCTCTCTAGTTTCCAACGGAACTAGATCAGCAAACTCGGCCTAGTCATAGCAAATGTGTCTTGTAGCCCCAGTATCGAGCCACCACTCCTTTGGATTGGAGTTGACCAAGTTCACTTCAGAGACCACAACAGATAAGCTGATGTCAGACACGTCTTTGGCAATGGTGTCCACAGCATTGGCCTCCTTATCCTTGTTTCATTTTGGCAGCCTGCAGTCTGCCGATTTGTGCCCAACCTTGTTACAATTGAAGCACTTTCCTTGGAATTTCTTGACAATTCCTCCCTTTGGTCCCAACTTGGATCTGGACTTTCCCTTCTTTTTGGAGCTATCATGCTCCACCACATTAGCCTTAGCAGAGCTCGCGGTTGCATTTGAGAACTTCTTCTCAGTCCACCTATTGTCTTCTTCAATGCGAAGCCTGACAACCAATTGCTCAACGGTCATCTCTTTCCTCTTGTGCATCAGATAGCTCTTGAATTCCTTCCAGGAGGGGGTAGCTTATCAACCAGCGCAGCTACCTGAAAGGATTCACTAATGGCCATTCCCTCAGCATGTATTTCATGAATTATCAATTGGAGCTCTTGAGCTTGACTAATGACAGTCTTCGAGTCCACCATCTTGTAATTCAGGAATTGGCCCACTAAGAACTTCTTAGCACCCGCGTCCTCGGACTTATATTTTTGATCCAAAGATTCCCATAATTCCTTAGCTGTTTTCTTTGAGCTATACACATTGTAAAGCCCATCAGCCAAGCCGTTAAGCATATAGTTTCGACACAGATAGTCAGAATGGTTCCATGCATCAACCGCGTGGAATGCTTGAGCATCCACTTCATCCTCTCTAACAGTACGAGGATCCTCTTTCAAGAATCTCGCAAGATTCAATGTTGTTAAATAAAACAACATTTTTTGTTGCCAAGTTTTAAAATTCAGCCCACTGAATTTATCAGGCTTTTCATTGTGGTCACAGAAACCGAGACTGGCGGGGGCCGCGTCGAGGTCAAAGCGGGAGTCAGGACCGAGACAGACGTTTGTCCCACAGGTGACGGCACAGGCGTCATAGTGTTGCTTCCAGCAGGAACAACCACGTTCATGTTATCAGCCATTTCTAAGAACAAAATTTCCAAGTCAGTAAGGAAATTGTCAGAATTTCGAACAACCACAACAAAAACGTTTTTTTTTCCTTTTTCCTGAAAACGTTTTGGTCTTGTTTTTTATTATTCCCTGCAAAACCTCCTTTGTATAAATCTGAATTTGTTTTAAGATTGTTAGCCGAAATAGTGGATAATACAAAAAAAGGAACAAGTTAAGGAAGAAGAAATCCGAAATTCATACAATTGTAATTCAACCTTTTGACCAAAACTCAGAAATGAGAGTTGCAAGGATGTCGAGGCACGTGAACCACGTTTTCCTTAAAGCAGATTTGTCCGCTCCGGTGAGTGCTTGAGGCAACGTATGACGTCCGTCTCCCAGGATACAACGACAACGACGGTAGGTCGATGCACTATCAAAACTGTCTGGCGAACTAGAACTTGAACCTTCCCTCTATCACCAAACCGAACTACAAGAACACAAAGAAAGCACAAAAACTTCGGAAGCAAGAGAGAAACCGAGAGAGAGGGAGAGATTTCTGAAAATGTGTGTCCTTTCTTTCATGGGGAGAACCCTTTATATAGGCCCTTGATCAAGAATGTTACAAAACATGGATTAATGGGATTTAAGGACACATTATTACAGGACCAACCCCTCTCAATCTCCCCTGGATGAATCCAGCCACCTTTCTTCACTAAGGTTCGGATTCTTGATGATAAAACCGAAGTCATTAAGGTCTCCCAGGATACAACGACAACGACGGTAGGTCGATGCACTATCAAAACTGTCTGGCGAACTAGAACTTGAACCTTCCCTCTATCACCAAACCGAACTACAAGAACACAAAGAAAGCACAAAAACTTCAGAAGCAAGAGAGAAACCAAGAGAGAGGGAGAGATTTCTGAAAATGTGTGTCCTTTCTTTCATGGGGAGAACCCTTTATATAGGCCCTTGATCAAGAATGTTACAAAATATGGATTAATGGGATTTAAGGACACATTATTACAGGACCAACCCCTCTCAATCTCCCCTGGATGAATCCAGCCACCTTTCTTCACTAAGGTTCGGATTCTTGATGATAAAACCGAAGTCATTAAGGTCTCCCAGGATACAACGACAACGACGGTAGGTCGATGCACTATCAAAACTGTCTGGCGGACTAGAACTTGAACCTTCCCTCTATCACCAAACCGAACTACAAGAACACAAAGAAAGCACAAAAACTTCAGAAGCAAGAGAGAAACCAAGAGAGAGGGAGAGATTTCTGAAAATGTGTGTCCTTTCTTTCATGGGGAGAACCCTTTATATAGGCCCTTGATCAAGAATGTTACAAAACATGGATTAATGGGATTTAAGGACACATTATTACAGGACCAACCCCTCTCAATCTCCCCTGGATGAATCCAGCCACCTTTCTTCACTAAGGTTCGGATTCTTGATGATAAAACCGAAGTCATTAAGGTCTCTATAAACCTAATTTGGTTTTCCCCTTCATCAAGTCCTATTATGCCTCTTAAATCACCATTAAGCTCGTTTACCAGCCATTAAGCACAACTTTATGCTAAGGGCAAACAGCTGGAAGTTGGAAGGTCTTGGCTGAAGCAAAAATAAAAATTGCAAAAATAAGCTCGCACGGAGCAGGTTATCCGGTCCGGCATTCATGTTCGCAGGTCGCAGGCGCACACATTAGGCCCCAATCTGCTGGGATCGTGATTCGCACCCCCCCTGCACGTGAGAGAGCCTCTCTGGTATACATGCTTACCTAGATTTCAAAGTGCAATCACTTATAAACACCACCTTGGCTTCACTCCTAGCCAATGTGGGATTTTGGCAATTTCCTTCTACATTTAGCATTCCAAGTAACATACTTAGACCATCAATTTCTCATTCACCCAAAAACCATTTTGAGTGTATGAATACTCGATTTCGATCTCCTCGTGACGGAGAACGCAAATCCATTGAGACCCGTCTCAAAAACCTATTGTGCCACATTCAAATATGGGCCTCAAAATGAGCATTTAAAATGGCTTAATAAGCCATTTTTTCAACAATTCCATCGATAGCTAGTTGCTTCGGTTTCTTTTTCATTATTTTATTTTGTTATATTTGTCAATAAATTTCACGCAAAATAATGATAAGCAGTGTTTGAGGTAGAACAAAAGTGTTGTTGAACATTAAATCTAGTCAACATCATATACTAAAAAAGACAACATGCAAAAACAAATCCTCATGCTGATAAAGATCTTATGATTCAAAATAACTTTTTACCAGTAACGTATTCTTTTTAGGAAGATTTTTTGATATACCTGACTTACTAATAGGTTAAGTTTTTCTAATTATTAGATCTGCATACTTTTTAATTTTTACGTAATTTTATATAAATTTAACGGACAAAAAATCTAACGTATCGATATATTAAAGTACCTAAAAAAGTCCCTTCTTTTCATGCTTTACCAAAAATTCTCATAATTTCTGCTAGAGAATTCTTCGATTATAACACCTTTTTTAGCTATCCGGTTTAGAAAAAATTCATTAAATGGTCATAAATTTATTTGTCAACCACCAAGTGGAAAATGAATTATTATAGATCACTTGTATCTAAACAAGAAAAGAAAAGAAATTGTGTACAAAAACACTTGTGTGTGTACTTCTGCCACTGAAAGTGCAGTGGTCCACTGCACTTTTTTGTACAGGAAAAAAAAAAGAAAAAAGAAAAAAACCTGTGCATATGTGAAAAGAAACACAGCAGTCTAAAAAAAATATTTTAAAAGGTGCACAAATTGCGATATTAGGAATCAAATAAAATATATGCTGTTGTCTGTATTTACCAATAAGAGAAATTAGGTCCCATTTATTTCATCAATTTGAGTTTTATTATAATAAAAAATTTTTAAAAATAATCACATTTAATTTTTTTACTATAATAAAAATTTTTTATATAAAATTATATTTTAATTCAAATTATAAACTCAAATAAATGAAGTAAACGAACCTTAAAAAAATAAAAACACAGAGACACAGAGCCCCACTCCCCTAGAAAAAAAAAAAAAAGGCGGAAATCATTATACTGTCACAGCGCAACATGCAAGGATTTATTTGTGGAGAGCAGAAAGAGAGAGAGACCCAGTTGATGTATTGGGACCCACCTGACAGGATTTGAACTTTGAAGGTCATGTCATCTTTGATCTTTTTCACTCTCGAATTCATGGACCTTTTTTCTTACTTGATTCTTTTCGGATAGATTCTTGAATTAGGTACAAAATTTTTTGTATCCGTTCCGTATTATTGCACTGCTTTAGGCTATATATAGATCTTCATTGTGAGTCTTGCAATTTTTCTTTTCATTTTAATTTGCTTTTGATATATGGTAGGGTATTAAAAAATAAGTTATTAATATGATTTAATTATTGAACCATCCATCACAATATTCGGTTAGTTTTGTATTCTTTTCATTTTGATGTGATTTTTATCAAATTAAAACTTCATAAACACGTGGTTTTGATTTTAGACCGGAAAACTCCTTAATATAATATGAATTTCAGAAATGAGTGGGGAAAAAATTGACCAAGTTTTTTTTTTTTTTTCCTTGCCGTTGATATTATGACTTGCATAAACAAATAGTGAGATTTGCACTCAACGTTATGTTATTGCTAAGAAAGAGGGAGAAAAAATAAATAGAAAACCTTGCACTTTGTTGGCTCTATTTTTGCCCTGCACTTAGTTATTACAAATATCAACCTTTTTCTTTACATCAATGAAACAAACAGCTTCTTTGAAACTAAAATAAACTAATTAAAATGGTAACACACATCTCTTGATTTTTGGCTATATGTTGTTCAATACAACAACTCACTTTGATCCCATTTTGGCATTGGAGGAACATGAGTAGAGAAGTGAGGAAGCAGAGAAGCTTGTGTTGTTGCTTTTCGTGTACAAACTTCGCATCGCCATTGCTGCCGCTGCAGATGAAGTTGTTGCCAAAACTCCACTCTTATTCTCTTGGCCATCATTTGCAGCAGGAGACCCTTTTAGGAGCACATCAACTTTTGCATATTCCTCTCTCTCATGCCTGATTTCTTTGAGCATTGCCGCCACATCTTTCATGGTTGGCCTCTCATCAGGAGCCGAGTTTACGCACAACAAGGCTATTCCCAAGGCCTGCATCATTTCCTCTATCTCTGATTCTGATCTAGAGAGTAGGCTTGGGTCCAACACCTCAATGCCTCCCCTCTTTTGTCTCACCCAATCCACCACATGTAAGCCGTCCGGTATTGTTGGATCGATCGGTTGCTTCCCTGTCAGAACCTCTAAAACAACTACCCCATAGCTGTACACATCACTCTTCTCTGTGATCTTCATCATGTAGCCATATTCTGAAGGAAGAGGAGTAAATGTTAACGAAGAAAACTAATCTTTGAGTACTTTAAGGAGTATTCTTAAAATACCCAATACGACAGTTTTTTACCTTAAGATCTTTATCAAGTTTTGATAAACTGTTATACTTTTCTTAATATGATAAGATTTTGATGTGATCTGACAATTAAAACTTGCATATTGCAGGTAAAGTTGTTTTCATACGCGAAACTCTTAACATGTACAAATATGTTTCTCAAGATAAAATAACACTACAAACATGAGAACCAAATATAAAAAATATGAACTACTCTATGAATTGGGAGAATACTTGCCTGGAGCAATATATCCATAAGAGCCAGCCACAGTGTTTGAGGACCTAGCAAAATCGCCATCATCAACCAGCTTAGCTAGTCCAAAATCAGCAATATAAGGCTCAAACTCAAGACCAATAAGGATGTTATTGGCCTTGATGTCTCTATGAACAATTGGAGGAACACAATCATGGTGTAGATAAGCTAAGCCCTGAGACGCACCCAATAAAATTTGATATCTAAGCTCCCACTCCAAGGCATTTCCTGTCCTCTCATGGAGAAGACTGCCTAAGCTCCCATTAGGCATGTAATCATACATGAGCAACCTCGTGTTTCGATTCCAACAACATCCCAGAAATCTAACAATGTTCTTGTGACGGATTGAGCCGAGTGTTTTCACTTCTGCTGAGAATGAATCGCGAACTCCAGATTTCTCGTCGTTACATCCATTGCCTGCGGCTGCTGTACTAGTTGGCCATAGCTTCTTAACTGCAATGACTTCACCGTTGTCCATGTTAGCGCGGTAAACAACCCCTGAACATCCTTTTCCTATTACATTGGTGTCCACCAGACATCTCAGTATTTGATCAACTGAGAAGTTGAGCTTCTGGAATGGAGTGAATTGCCACGGCCATGAGTCTCCCATTTCTGAATCCTCGCCATCTCGAATTGTTCTCCGTGCTCTAATCACCCCAATCACTCCCATAACTACCATTGTAATTGTAAGAGTGATCAGCAGTGCTATTGCCAGTTTAAGTCTCCGTGACCGCCTTACGTTGTTCTCACTTCTCGCCAGTCCTGTCCTTCCAATATTGCTCAAGAAACACGAATCTCGGTTTGAAGAGCAAAGCCCTTTGTTCCCTTCAAGGTCTGTTGGTGATAATTGCCTGAAAAGCTTGTTGTCCGGAAGATAACCGGAGAAGTTATTGTAAGAGACATTGAGACAGACAAGATTATCAAGCCCTGCTAATGGAATCAAATCCCCCTCAAGCTTGTTGTGTGACAGATCAAGAATGGAAAGCTTGTTGAGTGCAGATATCTGAGACGGGATAGGCCCGGAAAGTCCATTGCAGCTGAGATTTAAAGCAATTTCAAGGGCTTCAATCCGCCCCAGTTCGACAGGTATGGAGCCTGTGAGCTCATTGCTGCTCAGATCAAGCAATTGGAGACTCAAGCATAAGCCAAGAGACGACGGTATTGATCCGGAGAATGAATTTCCCCTCAAAATGAGCTTGTTTAACGAAACAAGGCGACCAAGGCTTGCCGGTATCTGACCAGAAAACTGATTAACCGAAACATCCAAGACCTGTAGTCCCGACAGAGAGGACAATGTATTAGGCAAGGGACCTTCTAAAGTATTGTTGCTTAGGTCAATCATCTGCAATTCTGTGCAGCTTCCAATCTCATGTGGGACCTCCCCAGAAAGGTGATTCGCAGACAAATCAAGGAAGTTCAAGCTCTTAAGCCCTCCGATTGTGCTAGGGATGCCGCCGGAGATTCTATTGTTTCCAAGCCGCAGCCTCACAAGAGAGCTGCAGTTGCCAATCTCGGGACGTATTGAACCCGAAATGTCGTTGTCAATCAACAAAAACTTGGTGAGGTTCTGAAGCTGAAATAAACCAGGTGGTACACTACCAGTGAGATAGTTGTGGGACAAATCAATAGCCTGGAGACTAGCACAACCAGCCAAAGTAGAAGGAATGCTTCCCTCAAGCTGGTTTTGCCAAGCGAAGAACACATTTAGCTTGGACAGTTTTCCGAGCTCGGGCGGGATCAAGCCTGAGATCTGATTAGTATCAAGCTGCAATTGCTCCAAATTAGTTGCATTTGCAAAATTGGAAGGTATTGAACCAGACACATTGTTGTTACTAATCATAAACTCCACAAGCCCTGAAAGCCCTCCTACGGACAATGGAATAGTACCCGAAATCGAATTCAACGAGAGATCAATGTTTGTCAAGCTACTACAATTCCCAAGCTCCTCTGGGATTGACCCAACCAAATTATTCTGCCACATAAACAACTCCTCTAGCTTTTGGAGCTTACCAAGCTCTTTAGGAATAGAACCAGACAAACTGTTCTCATAAAGAAACAAGTTCACAAGCTCAGAACAGTTACCTATCTCAGGAGGGATTTCACCAGACAGCATTGTGGTATAGATTGAGAGTGTCTGAAGCCTGCCGAGCTTCCCCAACGATGGCGGTAAAGACCCCAAAATCCCAGTGTCTGCCAACCCCAAAACAGTCAAGTTTAAGCAGTCTCCAATCTCATCCGGGATTTTCCCAACAATGTCTTTGTTCCCACCGACTCTAATCACTTCAAGGCTAGTCAGTTTTCCGAGCTCCACCGGGATAACCCCGCTTAGCCGGTTGTCGAAAATCAGCAGATTCTTTAGGCCAAAACAGTGGCTTATCTCAACCGGGATTTTCCCAGTTAACTGGTTTGAGTTCAAAATCAAGTCTTGAAGTTTCCCAAGCTTGCCAATAGTTCTAGGAATAGAACCAACAAGGCTGTTGGAACTAAGATCAAGGACTTGTAATTCTTTACAGTCACCAAGTTCATCTGGTATTGTTCCAGTGATATTGGCATCAGAAACGACAAGTTTTTGTAATGAATGAAAGGAAGAGAGATTGGCTGGTAAAGGAAGATGGAGAGGAATGGATTGGACGGTGATTTCTGTGACGAAACCTTTTGGAGAGCAAGAAATGAAGGTCCAGTTACATGGGTTTTCGTCCAGAATGTTCCAGTTAGAGAAAGAAGAGATAAAAGAAGAAGTAGTTTTGGAGGAGTGAAGCCAGGAAAAGAGAAGAGAAGCTTCATGGTTTGCAGAGAAAGAAGAAGAAAATAAGTTGAGGAAGAAGAAGAAGAAGAAAGAAGATTGCCTCGAGCTGGGCATGGAAGACATTTGCCTCAATTTCCCAAAACCTTAATCTTTTTTCTTCCTCGGGTTTATTGTATCATTGGGCTTTGCAGCCTCTCTCTTTTTCTCTCTAACTTACTCTGTTGGTCTCTCTCTCTCTCTCTCTCTCTCTCTCTATATATATATATATATATATCTGTTTTTACTCTGTTTTTCTTGCTTTGAACTCAAACTCAGAGGAAACAAAACCCAGTCACACTCAAAACTTTTTTTTTTTTGTTTACGCAGTTTCACATTGATACTCAAACCCAAGTTTAGTACTTAAACGGTATAAAGTAATGAAAGAGAGCAAAAGAAAAATAAGAAAAATGAATAGAGAGAATAACCCAATATGCCTAGAGATCAGCAAAAACTGCACCACCTTCAACGCCACCACCACCACCCCAGGCTCTTCTCTCTCTCTCTCTCTCTCTCTCTCTCTCTCAAACTATCTCTTTCTCTCTCTAAAACAATAGAATATTAACGGGTTTCGCTTGGTGGGTTCACGCGCAGGGGAAGAGAAAACACCACTTGCCCATCAATTTCTACACACACACAAATATATATATATATATATATATGTGTGTGTGTGTGTGTGTGTGTGTTTTCGTGGTTTGCTTTTTTTTTTTTCTGACTCCAGTAAGACTTATTAAGGAGATTATTATAAGGAGATTATTATAATGTTATTATATACAGTACAATATATAATATATTTCTCTATGTAAGCAGTTAGCTCAAATTCCAAGTAAGTGTTTTTTGAAGGAAGAAACAGACAAGTAAGCGCTTCCATTCAGCCATGAACTCCTGGGAATGGCTTTTACTCAGCAACAGTTCTCTCTTCATTTTTTGACTCTTTCTCAGTTATCAGCCATCCACTTGTGCTCTCCTCTCTCTCTCTCTCTCTCTCTCTCTACATATTTTCTTTATAACTGACGTTTTTGTTTATATTTTTTTGGCGGAGTTTTTTATTTTGCAACTGATTAATAATTTTTAGGAAGAAAGAAAAAAATAGGTCAAAATTAAAGATAAATTAAAATTAATAGGTTAATAGTTTATATAAGTTAATAAATAGGTTAAATTATTATTTTCGTCTATAACTTATCTCGTTATGAATCATAACTTGACAAGTTATTTTCGGTTTTTGTCCATAACTTGTCTGGCTATGAACCATAACTTAACAAGTTTGTCCATAACTTATGGTTATAAACCATAACTTGACAACTTATGACCTATTAATTTTTATAATTAAAAGTTAACATATATACTTTCTTAAGCTTTTCATATTGGCCTATTTCTTACTATTTTCCTAATTTTTATTAAAAAAAAAGTTGAGATAATTATGGTTTGCAAAAGTTGGCGGTTTTGGGCTTTTATTTTTTGGCAAGTTGTTAGTCAGATTTAGAATTATGATTTAAAATTATTTTTAATTTATGTGTATTTTTTTAGATTTAAAATTATGATTTAAAATTATTTTTAATTTATGTGTATTTTTTATAAGAAAAAAATTATAATAAATTATAAATTATAATTCGAATCATGATACGAATTCTTATACTAAATATCCTATTAAAGTTTGTTTAAGCAAAGTCATTTATTGACTTACCTATTAAAGTTTATAACTTGATTGTGACTAGTGCTGAAACTTTGGACGGGCCGCCCGTGACCACCGAAAAGTCTGAATTTTTACCCGATGACCGAACCCGATCTGCCCGAAAATTTGGGCTGCCCGACCCGACCCGAAAATTCCCATGGACGGGCTTCGAGCAGAGGAAGCCTGCCCGTGCCCGGTCATCGGGCTGCCCGCTGCCCGACCCGCTGCCCGCTTTTTTTTTTTATATTATATTTTTGTGTTGTTGAAATAAGTATTTGTATAATTACAATGTGTAATTGTGTATATTACAATTTGAAATATGAAATGAACACACGACACGAACGAACTATATAAAAAAAAGTACTTCTTCATTGATTTTTAAATTTGTAATTCATGATTGCCTCATTAAAAACTTTACCAAGAAAACCTTACTAAGAAAAACCCAATTGGGATAAAAACTTGGTAAGGAAAAAAGAGTGCAATCATTGTGGGACGAATTACAAATTTGATGAACTTACAAAGTCTATACAAGATTACAAATTACAATAAACACTATACAAATTAGAAATTACAAAGTAAATAAATATTTACAAAGAAATTATCAAGATGAAGCAGAAGGATCATCTTGAAAATTAAAAGTTAATCTATTAAATTCGTCGATCCATTCTTGGTTTGCCGGTGAGATTGTATCGTGTAAGCGTTGGTC